AATTTGACAGAAAAAAATAAAATAAAATAAAATAAAATAATGAAAAATGGAATTTGACAGAAAAAAATAAAATAAAATAAAATAATGAAAAATAAGGAATTATGCGGACGCGGAAGAGGAAATAGACCGCACGGATACATTGCATTTGGTTAGGGGGTGCGTACCGTCAAGATGCTTTGCATCTGTACCCCTCACCCCCCTGCAAATTGCAATTTTCAAATTACTTTCTGCAAATAGAAAATTTACATCCTCGCCAATCTCCTCCTCTTTCTTAGCTGTTGTTGATGTAGATAAAACCTAGCCGGTCGCTGCCAATGGACTCCAGTTTCTCTCTGTGTTTCCCCCTTCGTCTACACCTGCTCATTTTTTGCCCTAATTTGGGGTTTGTGGAATCGGATGAGTGAGAGGGCGGTTTTGGTTTTGTGATTATCGAGGTTGATTGGTGCTGGGGGTCTGAGGTATCGTGTTTTGAGAGATTGATCTTCCTTGTTCTGCAGCCATGCCGGCGCTCCTCGATTTGTCTGGTACTGACTGTTTCTGGTGTTGTTTATTCTTTGGTTGATGCTTTTATCTTTGCAGTTTTTGTTGTGGTTATGTCTTTTTTTTAGGATCTGGTAATTTTCTATGAAATATCAAATATGCATCGGATCGGATCCGATCGGATTTACTTATGTTCTTTCTTCTTCTGCTGCTGCTTTATTATTATTATTATTATTATTGCTTCTGTTTTGTGGATTTGATTTAGTTGTTGATCTGTGATTTGGGCGGTTTTTCTTGTGACCCCTTCCGGTGATTTGAGGCTGGGTTTCTTTGACTGGATATTGAGGATAGAAGTTGAAAATTTTTGGGAACTTTACATGGATGACTGCTGATTTTGGCCTTACACCTATGGTAGACTAAAGAAAGACGAACATGAATGGTTTTTGGATTTTACTTGTTCTTATATGTAAAATTATTGCGCTGGCAGTTAAATTCTTATGGTCTTTTGCTTTTCTGTTTTGTAGTTTGGCTTGGAGGGTAAAATCTTCTAGTTTCATTGAATTGCTTGTCTTTGTTGTGTTTGGGTTTGTATGTCTCTCTGCCTTTTATTTTGTTTTTTTTTTCTGCTCTTCAACTTTGTTCTGTCTCGAGCGTTAAATTATCTGGATTAAGCTAGATTCCCATGGTTTTTCTCTGATTAGAACTTTATCTTGTTCTTCTGCAGTATCAGGGGATGAAAAAATCCGACTTAGCGGGTCGGGCTACGCTGATTACATGGATTCAAGCTGTGTTTTACCTTTTGCAGCCGGGAGAGATGTTTATTATCCTCCGTGCAAGAGGCTGCGGGTCACTGCCCCTTTTATCATTACCAGGGAACAGAAGAAGGTTGATTCCGTCTTGAAAAAGCAGCAGTGTCACAGCTCCATTGATGCTCTTCCTGATGAATGTCTTTTCGAGATCCTTAGAAGGCTTCCTGGATGCCAGGACAGGAGCATTGCTTCATGTGTATCGAAGCGGTGGCTAATGCTTCTGAGCACTTTCGGAACTTCAGAAGTTGTTGGGGTGCAACACGGGAGTGAATTATTGAGATCCACAAGGATACCTCTTCCAGATCTCAACCAAGCTGTTTCTTTTGAATCAGAGTCGGAATCTGATGTTGAGACTGATGGATATCTCACCAGGTCCTTGGATGTAGATGAAGCAACAGATATCAGACTTGCTGCCATTGCCATTAGCACTGCTGGTCACGGGGGGCTTGGCAAGCTGAAGATTAGAGGAAGCAATTCAACCTGCATGGCTACTGACGTTGGCCTTTCTGCCATTGGTCGGCTTTGCCCTTCACTGCATACTCTGTCAATGTGGAAGTTTCCTTTGGTTACTGATGCAGGGCTCGCAGCTATAGCAGATGGATGCCCCATGCTAGAGAATCTTGACATTAGCCATTGTCCCTTGCTCTCAGACACTGGTTTGATAGCAATTGCACATAAGTGCCCGAATTTGAGGACTTTGAGATTGGATTCTTGCTCTGGCATCAGCAATGATGGACTTCAAGCTGTTGGTCGCCATTGCCGGAAGCTGGTTTCTGCTTCAATTAAAGACTGCCCTCTTGTGAGTGATAAAGGAATCTCTAGCTTGGTGTCTGCTGCATCTTCTTCGCTGATGAGGATAAAACTTCATAATTTAAATATCAATGATGTATCCCTTGCTGTCATTGGGCATTATGGGCAGGCTTTAACTGACATATCTCTTGTAGCACTTGAGAACATCACCGAAAGGGGTTTCTGGGTTATGGGAAATGCTCTTAACATGGTAAACTTGACATCCCTCACAATCTCCAGCTGTCCTGGCATTACAGATTTGGGCTTGGAAGCTATTGCCAAGTGTTGCCAACATCTTAGACATCTGTACCTCCGAAGAGCCTGCAATGTTACAGACACTGGGCTTAAAAGTTTCACCAGTTCGACGAACATACTTGAAAGTCTAAAGCTAGAGGAGTGCAGTATGATCACCCTTCATGGTGTTCTCGACGGCCTTCTTAACTGCAATGCAAGGTTCCGTAGTCTAGCCTTGGTGAAGTGCACGGGGATCAGGGACATTACTTATCATCCGAATGAGCTTCCGACATGCACCTCATTGCAATTCCTTACAATACGGGATTGCCCGGGTTTCACCAGCAATAGTTTGGCTGCCGTTGGCAAACTGTGCCCCAACTTGCAACAAATTGACTTGATCGGCCTTGTCGGTGTTACAGATGTTGGGTTTCTTCCGCTGGTAAAGAGCTTCGAATCTCGGCTGGTTAAAGTGAGCCTTGAAGGATGCACCAATATCTCTGATGCAAGCATTTCTGCTTTGGTGAAGACACATGGAAGTTCATTAAAGCTGCTTAACCTTAATGGATGTAAGAAGATCAGTGACAAAAGCCTCTTTGCCATTGCAGCAAGCTGCTTAGTTCTTCACGATCTCGACATTTCAAGGTGCAACGTCAGTGACATTGGGGTTGCCGCGCTGTCCTCTGCCGATCAGCTTAATCTGCGGGTCCTCTCTCTTGCTGGCTGCTATGGAGTGACTAAGAAGAGCCTTCAATTCCTGGGAAATATGAAGGACTCGTTGGAAGGGCTTAATCTTCAGCAGTGTAAGCTCACCAATGCCCATGGGATTGGCTTTCTTGAAGAGAAGCTTTGGTGGTGTGACATACTTACCTAAGCAAAGGTTGAAGAAGAGCAAATAAATACTATAGATTACTAAAAGAATAAGAAATAAAAGGAGAAGTCATGTTCATTAGTGATAGCTGGTTCTTCAAATAGTTTTTGGCTCTTTGCCATTATCATTGAGAGCAGGCACCTCTCCACTCAGGTGAGGCTAGTTTTTGAAGGAACTGTTGGCCATTAACCAGTTTTTTCAGACTCCTGTGACGGAGTTCTGTTTGGGGGTTCTTACCTTCATCCAACATCTGGTTCGGTGTTTTTTACCTCGTGCTGGCTTTCGGCTTTTGGGTCCTGAGATCAGTGCCTTCCCTGCTTATAGTGGCTTGTGATATATTCTTCATTTTGGAGTTTTTAATAGGGTTGTGGTTATGCAGATTGTTGGAGCTGCAGCCTCATAAGGCTGCTTTCTGCTCTGTTGTTTCAGCCATGCCTCATATTTCTCCATTGCTGGCTCTGTCTTGTCATACGGTGTTGTTATGGTTTGGTCGCATGCCTGCAGTTTTATTTGAACGCCTGGTTTCTACAAGATCTTGGTTGTTGCAGCTAATATTTATATAGCTTGCTTTGACAGCCTTCTTCTGGCTGTTTTTTTTAAACCAAGGTACTGTTTTTTTACAGGTTTCTGTATTGGATTGCAGTCTGCGACTTCTGTAGTAAATTTGCCATGAATAAATATTACATGTTTTGTAGTCATTTATTTGTGTGTACTGCTGTGCCTTTTCTGATTAAAATGATCCAGTATATAAGCTGTATATGTATATGTACGGGTGTAAACGAACCGAACACGAACGAGTAGAGCTTATGATCGTGTTCGATTCGTTTGAAATTTAGTTTGTTTGAAATAAGCTCGTATTCGAAATTGTTCATGAAGTCACTATTCGTGTTCGTTTCTTAATGAACGAGCCGAACACGAGCTGTTCACGAACGACGAGCCAGTTTGACATCCTTAATATTAATATATATAAATAATATATTATATTAATTATGTAATTTATATTATAGAAATATATAATATCTATATTAGTATATTACTAATATAGTATATTAATATATTATTATTATT